ACGAAGGTTGGAGAGAAGAGGTACAGTCCCACGATCCAAACCAACTCATAGGGCATCACGACCGTGCAACTAAATGGCACAATGCTATTCCCTCGGTTTGCAGAGGTGTAGTTGTCACCGCTTAGATCCGAAGGAATGCTATGGTCAAGGTGGTGCAATCATATAAGGTGGCTAGGATAAACTCAGGCGAAAAGAGGTAGAGCCCGATGGTCATGGCGAGGGGACTCGCGGCCATGAGCTTCACCTACATGAGTTGGCATCCGTCATCTACAACCATCGTATCCCGACTCATCCACTAAGTTAGGCGAAAAAGGGCTCATTGTGTGTGGGTGATATCCGCACCAATGTTTAGTCCACAATGGCCAAGTCCTAGGGCCGAATCGGATTACTATTAATTGTAGTACGTCGGAGACAACTAAAAGCGAGGGTGTGAGTTACGCTCGCCATTACAGCCACGGTGGGGCAAACCCACTACCGAAATGGTCGAACGAGGTACGATCCCTCGACCGGCTTGAAGGCACGGTCCTTAGGCAAACAAAACATAACATAAGAACAAGAATCCCGACAACCCAACATAAGAGCTAAGACATGACCACATGAATGGAGTAGCACATATCCATAGCGAGGGGGATGGGTAGACCTGCACAAGGGCACGGTGCAGACAGATATAGATAGATCAAGATCACGTATTGTAAGTGTACGAACGAGTATAAGAATGAGCAGGAAGGGGCTTTCGTCGGTGTCGGGAATGGCGTTCGACTAGGATTCGACTTCGCGGCAAAGATGAGGATGGCCAGGGGCGATTGTAACTTGTCCCAGAGGGTTGTGGCTTCATCTGGCCAGCTGAGGCCAGCTACAGCCTGCTGTGGCTAGCTGTGGCTTGCTACGGCTCGCTGTGGCTAGCTGCGGCTGGCTACAAGTGGCTATGGTTGGCCAAGGGCTGGCTTTGGCTGGCCGGGCATGGCAGCGACTGGCTAAGATGCGCCTACTGCTGTCGGACACAGCTAGGGTTGGCGACGAAGGCGTTTCGCAAGACGGTAGGGCCAGACTATAGGTCCAAAAGAGAGGCGAGTATCGGTCTCGCATTGTGCGGCATAAAACGGGTAGACAAGGACATGTCTATGGCGTAGAGCTTGATTTTAGAAAAATGTGGGAACTGGTTTCACATTTTTCTTAGGTCGTATGAATTTTCTATGAATTTCCGAAGTTAAATCTATTTTCTAAAAAAAAAGGAAGGGGTGAACCAGGGCTTGACACGTGGCAGCGCAGGATTGGTCTAGCGGTAACAGTGGCTGATAGGTGGGCCCTCGGCAATGGTCACTGATAGGTGGGCCCAGTCAACGGTCAACGGGGCTGGGCCTAGTATGGGCTTGGATGGGCCGGGTTCGGCCGACCCGGCCCAGACACGTGTCGGGCAGGTAGGCTATCCACGTGGTGATGTTGGGCTCTTAATGGGCTACGTCGTGACTGTGCATGTGGGAGCGGCTCACGGTGGACCGGCAGGCGCTGGTCCATGGTGGGCTGACACGCGCGGTCCCACTGGACCGAAGGCCGGGTTTACGGTGAACCTTGTTCACGCGGGCGCAGGCACGAGCGGTGCAACGTGTACCCGGTGCTCAAAGTGATGTGAGAAGGGCCCCGGTCCTCTGTTCTCCCGTGATGGCGTTCTTGCCGGCAGCAAGCCCGCACGACAGGGCGCGGCGACGGCTTGGCGATGTTTCTAAGGTGGCCTAGGGCTTCGCGAGGGTCGCTGCGAGGGCTTCGGTGGGCTAAAGGCAGCAGCCTGGGCTTCCGACGGTCGGCGCGGTGGCAGCGGGCGGCAAGGCCACGGTGACGCTGTGTAACAAAGCTCTGGCAAGGGCTCGACCACTCGAGGGGCTCCGACGGCTCCCTCGTGACACGGCGACAGGACAGGGACGTCCGGGGTGGCGCCTAGAGTTCGGGCGAAGCCGGCCACGATGGCAGCGGCACGGCGTCAGCGGTGGACAACGGCGTGGCGGCTACGGCTGTGATGGGAGCCATAGGCGGGCCCTTTTCCACCAATTGGAGTCACGGACTGGATTGCGAAGGCGACGCCGGTGACCTCGGGTCACGGCGAAGTCCGTTCGGCGCCCCAGGCGCATGGTGGAGCTCCGGCGAGATCCCGGCAACGGCGGTTCGGGGGTTTGGGTATGTCATCAGCTTCATCGTCTACACAGTTAGGTGCGTGAGGTCGAGGCGAAACTCTACGGCCAGATCCCGTATCACAAGGTGGCCGGAGATGGCAGGAAGGTCCGCGGCATGGCGACGCTCATGGCGAAAGTACGACGGCGAGCACAGGGGCGGCATTGGGGCTTACCGTGGGGCTTGGGGCAGCAGGGTAGCGGTGCGGTGGCGCGTTGGTGCCGTGGCGGGTTGGTGCCGTGCCGTGCAGGCTGCGACGGGAAAGAAGACGATCGCGATGTCGTCCCTGGCTCCGCGACTTGGCAACTCCGGCAAGGCTCCAGCTTCTCTTCTTCTTCTCCTCCTCTCTTCCTTCTTCTTCTACCTTCCTTCTTCCTCTTTCCTCTCTTCTGGCTTGGACGTTGGCGAATTGGAAGGCACTGAGCGGCGGCAGGGGTAGGAGGGGCCTAGGGCTCCGCTCGGGTTCTTTATAGGCCGAGCTCGGCCATGGGGCTCGGTGAACGGTGGATGCAGGGAATTGGTCACGCGAAGGGCTAGGATATGTCCGAGGGTAGGGCTTGAGGCGTCGTGGTTCGATCGTGGGTGTCTTGGCAACTCCAATTTAGAGCGGCGGCCGGTAAAAAGTGGAGGTGGGTGGTGTCAGCAGGCATGGGCCACGGCGACGACATCACGCGAGGCGCGGCGTGACCTGGGGCAGGGCGTGGTACCGTGGATCGCTTGCGTGGCCGCATCCGGGCGTGCGCAGGGGTTGGTGGTCAGGTCCGGACGGCTGGGATGCGGGGCGTGGCCTTGGGTGCTCCTTGCTCGGTGCGCGCCTTGGACGACATTATTTTTTAGGTCACAAACACAAATACATGGAATAATTCACCAAAAGACGCTTTCCGACGTTGATTTGCGCAAATGAACAAGGGAGATGCCGATCAAATCAATTCAAATGGGGCAAAACCCCACGGGGAAGCAATCTTGGTCCAACCCACGGCTGGGCAGACGAAGGCGGTGGCGAGAGGCCACGGTCAAGGCGCGCCCGACCCCTTGCCGGCGCTGCTCAGCCCCTCCTTGCTGTGGCGGTGGCATGGAACCAAGCTAAGGCGGTGGGAGCCGGTCCTCGCGCCAATTATAGCTCATAACACCGCCTATGCTCCTGTATAAGTAGAGGGGTACCCCCCTCTGTAAACACACTCACCTTGAACATCACCTCACACACCTCAGTCTCTAATAGTAGTAGCTTTACTTTTAAGTAGCTTTAGAGCAAGGCAAAGCTACCTTGGAGAGCTTCGCTCCTTGGAAGAAGAGACCTTTGGGTATGAATAGAGATATGAGTTCTTCCAACGTTATGCTCTCATATGATATTTATAGTCATACTTATAAACTAGAGCATAGTTATCGTGTTATAATCTTGATATATGAACTAGTCCACAGTTTGTATGTCATGAAAGTAGCATACATGACTTTATGCTTAAAGACTCATATTACTTATATAATCGGAATTAGAGCAAAGTTGAGGTGGCGGTTCATCGTGCCGTTAGGTGTGCCCAAGTTCTTTACCTGTCGATCCATAGGGTTTGGGACCCGGGGGAATTTGGGTAGTTTCTGTATACGCAAGCGTGGTGCTTGGGTATGGAGAGACAAGTGAATGCATTGTCCCTTTCCACGATTGAGGGGTAGGCGGCAGGTAGTGATAGCCATGTCCGTCCCTTGTAATCCCCCACGTTCGACTAGGGTGTAAGAGTCTAAATTATCACATGAGGTTTGTAACAACCCGGGGTTTTTTGCAACCCAAAAATACGAACTTTTTAAAAATTTTCCTGCAATGTGTGAAGCATGTAGTCGCTATGTCAAACCTAAGTCAAACTTTTCCCTTCCTAACCTAACTTCAAAAATCCCAATTTCAAAATCGTTTTTGCAACAAGCCACTTATCATGGTGTTGACCAAGTCACAACATGACAAGAGGTATTTTCAAAGCAAAATATTTTCGGAGTTAAATAAACATTGGTGGGATTCAAGCTTTGCTCGAATTCAACATGTCAACTCTCACATGATTTCGATTTATATCTAAAACAAAAACCCTAACTCTATTTCCTCCCCTCGGTTCAAAGAGACTTCGCAATATAACTTGATGCACTCATATAATCTAGTTGCATATTGGAGTGCCTTGAGTTGGTTTTTATTGGGTGTTTATTGTTTGATTGTAAGGCAAAATAGTTGTAAAAGAAATAGAAAATCCATTAGAAGAAATAGGAAAAACCCCTTTTCCTCTTGGGCCCCAAGCACCTCACCCAGCCGGCTTCCCTTCCCCTCAAGCCCAGACCAAGGACCGGCTGTAGAAGCCCAGCTCCTCTCCCTTGCCTCACGTGCGCCGCGCGTGCTTGTGGAAGCCGTGCCCTTGCGCGTCGCAGGGAGATAGCCGCCGCCACGCCGTTCCCACTCGCGTACGCTGCACGCGTGAAAGGGAGGCACCGTCCCTGTGGGACCCGCCGTCAGCCACCAAGGGGAAAAGAAGCCACGGACGCCATTTGCCTCCCATCGCTCGTCCGTAAGCGCCTCCGTCTCCTTCTATCTCCGTACGCGAGCCGCTCCTCTACTTCCAGCCGAAGTCAAGCTCTGCCGTCCCGTCTCCCGTCGCAGCACGCCCACGCCTTCACGGGCCTACCGAGCCGCGCCCCACGCCCTTGACCACAAAGACGTGCCCGCGACCGCACTGGAACCTGGCCCCTTCTCAAAGCTTCCCCGGCCACCTACCCGTGCTACGGATGCATGCCACGCGTCTGGAGGCACGGACGCCAATGATCACCGCCGCCCATAGCTCGCCCACGCCACTGCGAACCCTAGCCTCCCGCTATAAAAGACCGAGCACCCGACGCCCTCGCCATCTTTCCCCGTCCGCCGCCACAGAGCCCTTCCTTCCGTTCTCGGCCTTGCCTTCCCACTCCGCACAAGACGACAACGTCGTGGAGGTCGTCTCGCCGCTGCGCCCACGCCGCGGGAGCCCCCACGGTGAGCCCTTCGTCCTGTCACCCTGCCCGACAACGCTCGCGGCCGTGCGTCGCGGCCTCAGTTTGCCCCGACGCCGTCCTCGACGTCGCTCCGTGCTCATCGCAACATGGAGCAGCGGACGCCACGTCGAACCTCCTCCGCCTCGCCTCCTCCGCCATGAACTCCGGTGAGTTTCAACCACCGGTGAGCCCCCTTCCCTTACCAAAGCCTCCACCTTTCGCTTCCATGTCAACGCCCTTTCCTGAGACCGGCCTTCATGCCACGTTTGTTCACCGTAGGGAAGCCGCACCCCATCTCCCTCCTTGGCCCTGAAGACTGGAGCCTCGACCACCACCAGTGACCCATCGACCATCGCGCACGGACGCCGCGCCATGACCCGGCACCAGCCACTCCAGCTTGCTGCCCCTCGACGCGACCACGATGTCACCAGCGCGCGTTCTGCCTGTGTCGAGCCCGACCGGCACCACGCGAATTCCACCGACGAGCCCTCTAGTGAGCCGTCTGCCCAAAAGCCCACGCTTTTACTCGAATGCCTCGGTAGCCTGCCTGTTCTGGCCTTCGACGCTAGCTCTGTTGCCACACCCGCACAGTACGGCGTCTTCGCCACCGGTGGCCACGCACGGCCGCCACACGGCCGGAACGCCAACACATGCACACACACCAATCCCAAGAAGACCAAGGTGGCGCCTTTCATGGCTGCTGCCGTCGTGGCAACTCACCAACACGTCGGCGCGCTCACGCACAAGCGCAGCTCCACGAGCACACACGCCGAGCCCCTTTGGGCCTTTCATCGAGCGTCCGTAGGGGGGCGCCACTGCCATTCCTGCGTGCACGCTGTGCGTACTTCACGCACCGTCGTGCCTTTGCCGGCTCACCAAGCCACTCACGCACCGTAGGTCTTGCACACGCCCTCGGCACGACACCACCGGCTCGCGCAGCACGGCGATGCCGCGCAACTCACGGCCGCCGTGGCCTCGCCGCCGCCAACTCCTTAACCAGCCCCAAGGCCTCTCCTTTTCTCGCCTTGGCCTTGAACTCGCACAGGCACATCGCGGGAACCTGCACACACGCTGCGCACACACGGCCTGGCAACACGGCCACCGTGGATGGCCCACGGCGCTGCGCAGCCCGCCGCGGCCATGACTCGCACCAACATAGCACAAGAATAGCCCTTTCTGGGCAATTCGTCGAGCAGCCAGGACGGCATCCTGGCCTCCATGCTCTCCTGTTGTTTTCCCTCGCTAGCCTCTGCATAGCCATCGACGGACCGGCACACTGAGATCATCATGTAGACAGCACGACCTCACTGTCGGCCTCGCCACACGCCTCCAGCGCCGCGTGCCATGGCCACGAACCACGCACGCGGGGCGTTTGCCCCCTGCCTTGCACATGCGCACCTGAGCACGAGCACCTCTGGCTACCCACGGCCATGGCCGAAGACACACGACCGCCATAGGCTACTACGGCAGCGCCAAAGCACCATGTCGACACTGCCACCACCGATGTGCCCACCTTGCCGTCGCCCAGCCCGAAGTAGAGGATTTAGTGGAAGATCTAGGGCGTTAGCCAGAAGCCCATAGAGAGAGAGTCAAAAGCCTATAGCACTGCAGGAAGACCAAGGTCTGGATTGATAGATCTAGTGGTCACTCACCGTCAATATTTGATTCTATGGCCTATGCTAATAAATTCAAATAGCAATAAAACAATGTTCCTGGGGAAGCCCTAGCCTTGAAACAAGGGCCTTTACTAATATATATAGAAATGGAAACCTAAAAAAGATGCCTAGTCTGCGCTATTAGAATCCATTGGAGAAAGGCTTGCTCACTTCTTCATCCGTGAGATACTCGTTGTTGGTGTTTCGTACAAGCACCGGCAAGTAAATTTATAGTAATGCGCGTTAGGCTCGAATGGTGCGCTAAAGGACACAAGATTTATACTGGTTCAGGCCGAAAGTCCCTATGTCCAGTTTGTTGCTGCTCGTGTTATTAGCACCGTGAACGGTTTGCAGTAAGGGGTACAAACGATCGAGAGAGGGACTGGTCCCAAGTCTCTGATGGAAGGGTTGAACGGATGTCAAGAGGTTCGACACAACTTGACTATGCGTATCTGAGAGTCATCTCATTCGATCTTTTTCTCTCTCTCTCTTATGGAGGAAGCGCATCCCCTTTTATAGATGAAGGGGCTGGCTTTACAAGGGTGAGGGCTTTAGGATGCGTACTCTACTTAGTCTTGTGGCTCACATCTACCCGGCCTGGTTCTTCATTCTGATGAGTGCGAAGGAAGATAAGCGCCTACAATAATGTCGATGTCCCTGTAGAATGTCAGGTTGGTTACAGAATGCTACCCTGCGCAGGGTATGGGCCGCAGTATAGTGTTTTGAGTTTTGAGCCTCCCCCAGCCTTGCTCCGCACGCCTTCTGGCTCCAATGAGTCTTCGTCGGAGGGATGCAGGGTCGGGGTCTGTAGTAGCGCCGTGGCCAAGGTCTTCTGTCTTGGTGGACCTGAGGGGTCGGGAAGCGGGTGCCGCTCCCTTGGGTCCACCGTGTGGTGATGGAATATCTGTCGTTCGTGGAGATAGCAAATCCTTTTCTGGAGCGTAGTGGTTGTCGTATATCTTCGTCGGGTTCCATGTCCCAGAGCTGAAGGCGGCGCCTACAACTCTACAGGGTGGAGAGCTCGCACCTGTGACACCTTTCGGCCTCTGCGGCGCCTGGAAGGGCCTAAAGCGCCTGTCCCATCATCCCCTGGCAGTACTTTTCCTGCCAGGGTGCAGGGTATGGCTCTTGGAGCCATGGTTGACCTGAACATCATGTCTTGCCCTGTCTCTATCATCTTGAAGGAACAGGGAGAAGTGGTCAGGTAAGATGAATCCAATCTTTAGATATGGAGCAGAGTGAGGCTTGTTCCTTGCCGTCGGGCGAAGCGGAGACCAATCCCTATCTCCTGGGCAAGACCGACCCTGCTCCTCCGGGGTCGGGCGAGGCGGAGTTTATCCCTCAGCCCTCGGGCGAGAGCGAGCCCACCCTAAAGGCGTCGGGCGAGACGGAGACTAGCCCTGGGCCCTCGGGCGAGACCAAGCCCAGCCCAAAGGCGTTGGGTGAGGTGGAACCAAGCTCCTGTCATTCCCGTGAGGGGTGAAGCAACGCTCTTATGCGTCTAGAAGTTTTTAACGTTCGGTGGTTATTGGTTCCACCTTCTGGGGTACCCCGGTATTAGGTCCCCGACAGTAGCCCCCGAGCCTCTAGGTGATTCGAGTAGAACCGCCTGGAGGGTGTTTTTTGATTTCGTCGAGGTTACTTTGTCAGAGGGTGCGCGCGAGCGCACCCGATGGGTGTAGCCCCCGAGCCCCCGGGTGATTTGAGTAGAGTCGCCCGGGGGGTTATATCGGTCCCTTCGCGGGTAAGGCTGAAGGACTTAATTTTTCGTCAACTGGACATTTTTCCGAGTGGGTCGTGGTATCCCGTTCGCTGGGAACTGATTCGGGGCTGACCTAACTGGTGCTTCTACCCTTGATTTCGGATCGTCCGCGGATCCTTTCTTAGTTGGGCCGGCCAGCGAGCTTCTGGGCCCTAGGTGGGCCAAAGAGAAAAGAAACAGGCCTTTGTGGCTTGCGTTTCCCAGGTGGGTAGAGAGTCCGGATTCGCCTGGGGAAGGCGATCCGTCCGCCGAGATTTTTGGGGTGAGAGGATAGGGACTGCGGGCGCGTGTCCCGCGATGTGACGCGGTGGCGCGCGTAGCAGGCCTGGAGATTGAGGCGGACGGTTGCCCTTCTCACGTCCGTCGCCCCCTATAAGACCATGGGGTTCGCCCCCAAGGTTCCGTATTTCGCTCCCCTGCCTTTGCGTTCTGAAACATCCACCGCCAATCGTCCCAGCCTCTCGCGCCCGCATCGCCACCGTCGGCCGGCTGCGTTAAATGTTCGGCCGCCCGTCAAGCTCGCGCCTGCCCTTCCCCCCTACTGCTTTAATGGAGTTGTGGGGCAGATCAAGCATCACCTCCCGACGTCTGGAGGGCCTCGTCCGCCGTGGCCTTCTCCGCCCACTGTCCGCCATCCAGGAGTGGTTGCTACCTGGCGACGAGGGTGAGCCGGTGCCGCCTGAAGGGTATGTCGTCTCTTTTGCCATCTTTCATGAGCGGGGATTCAGGGTACCCGCGCATAGATTCCTTCGAGGGCTGTTGGATTACTATGAGGTAGAGCTGCAGCATCTAACTCCCAATGGGATTCAGCACATGGCAGCATTTGTTGCCCTGTGCGAGGGTTTCCTAGGGATCGATCCCCATTTTGATCTGTGGCGGTACTTCTTTAACATTAGTCTATCAAAGAGGAAGATTGGGGGGAAAGACGTGAACGCGCCGATGGGGTGTGCCAGCATTCATCTGCGCCATACCCGGTCGAAGGGTTACCCATACATGCGTCTGGCGACATCCAACAAGGGATGCCACTCGCAGTGGTTTTACGTTAGGGATGACGCGAGTGCCACACTACCGAAGTACACTGGACGTCTTATTGTGGACGTTCCAGAGTCGTGGGGCTGGGGCGTCCAGACCAAAGACAAGAAACACATCTCTGATCTTCTTTTCGCCCTCCAAGCCCTGAAGGGTCGGGGTGTAAAGGGGACAGGCATTATCGGTGCCTACCACGCTAGGACGCTAGGAGGGTGGCGCCTCTGATGGCGCGTGTGCTTCCCCTGCATCGGATGATGCCCGGGATATCGCTCGAGGGGACGATGCTTGTTGACGAGGCGCTCCCTTACTCAGAAGTGGCGCAGCGCATCAAGGAGGCGATGGAGCCGATGAAGGATTCTGCAGGCAGGGTCCTCGACATTGTGTATCCGGTGCCCGAACACCCCCCAATGCGGCCGGAGCCTGGATTCTTTGAATTCGTAAGCTCTCCTCTCCCGTGCTCTTTTCTTTTTTCCTGGATCTCCATTTTTTAATACTTGCTTTATGACGTTGGGACCAGCCGAGGGTGCTGGTCTTTAAGGATAGCCTAGTTCCACTGCCGAAGGACAAGGTCGTGGCGGCGGCGAATCGACTCGCGGCCGAGCGGGACAAGAAAGCAAGGGAAGAGATGAAGAAGGCGAAACGACTGAAGCAGGAGGCACGGGATCGGGGAGAGGACGTGAGCAGTGAGGACGACGACGATAACGATGATGATGATGATGACGACGACGAGGTAGCTGTCGGCGTGGATTGGGACGTCCTGGAGGACGAGGACACGCTGATGAGTGGCCACCCATCCGTGCAGGGGCCCTTCCCTTTCCACGCGGAGGGAAGTATATCGATGAGGTCAGTGGAGGCCGGCGAGTCCGCCGCTTCGCACGGCGTGCCGGCCGAGGACCAGTGGATGGGGGGGTGGACTGTGGCAGAACCTCCTAAATTATAGGGCCCACATGCACCTGTCACTGTCCAACGACCATTGACATTTATGCATATGTTACCGATAACTTAAGAAGACTGTCGGGTGTCCTCGGAGAACCCCGAATCATCCACGATTTCCGAGCAGGATCACATTACAGAGTTATTGCAGTATTACAACATTTATTCAAATATCTACACCAGAGTAAATCAGCGGAAGTCTTACAATAACTTAGTTTACAAAACATTTATTTCAAACCTTACAAACTAAGTTCGATTATTAATACAAACCAAAGTAGGGGAGTGGCATTATAATATATATACAAAACACACAAAA